CAATGACAACTGCACGACACAAGTTTTTAGTGAGCAAACTGACACTGGTTTCCCAGCCTCAGTTTGAGGGGGAGTGTAGGAAATAGGCATATTTTGTAATTTTGTTTTATATTAAGGGTTTTTATGTAACTTTACATTTTATATAACCTAATCTAAATATGCTGCTAAGGGTGAGCAGCTCTGGATGTTGTTTTGCACCCTCCACTTCCGCCTCACTTTACATTCTTAAATCATACGTGAGGAAAACTCATACACTTAAATGGTTGGCAAAAACTAACATTTAGCCCCTTACCTTACAAAATTGGTAGATTTTAGTCGTTTACCTCATAATATGACACTTTTAGCCCTTTACCTTACAAATTTGATAGATTTTACCCCTTTACCTTACAAAGTTGGTAGGTTTTAACCCCTCACCTTATATTAGGACATTTTTAGCCCCTCACCTATATGAATTGAAGAAAATAACCCTCATTTAATATCAGGTTATAATATTCTGTTAGTTTTATTAGCTAACTGTTAACATCTATTAGCATTTCATTATAGAAAACATGAAATTTAAATTCAATTTTATTAGTTAATTCCATTAACGGAATATTAACGGATACTAACAGTTCGTTAACAAAATTGACAATCAGCTAACAGAATTAACTGTCAACTAACAAAACTAACATAAAATTATAACTTGATGTTAAGTAAGAGTTAGTTTCTTTAATTCGTATAGATAAGGGGTTAAAAGTGTCATAGTATAAGGTGAGGGGTTAAAACCTACCAATTTTGTAAGGTGAGAGGTTAAAACCTACCAACTTTATAAGATAAAAGGTTAAAAATGCTATATTATAAGATTAGGGGTTAAAACCTACCAACTCTAAAGGTGAGGGGCTCAAATTGGTTTTAGCCTAAATGGTTTTTCTCCCATGTACTGCAATTATTTCCCTCGAGTCCCAACAAAACTAACCAAAAGGACTTTTTCCCATTACGTTTCAAACAATTGAGTTGACCAGAGTTGCTGTTCGCTTTTAGGACATGGCGTCGGGAAGCTTCCTTTGACTGCGTCAAAGATTCCATCTTTCTTTGCCACTCCAGCCGACAGTGTTTAACAATCTTGTTGAAAAACAGAACTCCTCACATTATTCATACATATATGGGATTCTACCAATGATCCTAGGCGATCTAAAGAGAGAAGTTATTGAGCATAAAAAATGTTTGCTTTCAGATTCTTCATTACCCTGTTTGTACTCTCCCTGCTCAGCCTCATCACTGAAGCTCAGAACCCGACTTACCTTTACCATGTCTGCTCCAACACGACCACTTTTGCCAGAAACGGCACTTATCAATCCAATCTCAACGGCCTCCTCTCCGCCCTCTCCTCCAGCGCCAACGCCAGCAATTGGTTCTATAATACGACATCTGGGGAAAACCCCAACAGGGTCTACGGCCTCTTCCTCTGCCGCGGCGACGTTTCGACCACTACTTGTCAAGATTGCGTCACGTTTGCCACCGAAGATGTGACTCAGCGTTGCCCTGTTGAAAAAGTTGCTGTAATTTGGTACGACCAGTGCCTGCTCCGCTACTCCAACGCATCAATTTTCTCCACCCTGACTGAATCAGGGGGTTTGAGAATGTGGAACACTCAGAATGCGACGGATCCCACCCGATTCAACGAGGTAGTGGCCACGGTGATGAACGATGCAACGACTCAGGCTGTGTTGGTGGCTAAAAGGTTCGCCACAAAGGAGGCTAATATTTCTCTGTTTCAGACCCTGTACAGTCTGGTTCAATGCACGCCGGACCTGTCAACTTCGGACTGTAATAGGTGTCTCCGAGGAGCCATAGCTGCTCTCCCTAGTTGTTGCACTGGAAAAGTAGGCGGAAGAGTATTGAACCCTAGTTGTAATATTAGGTATGAAGTTTACCCTTTTTATAATGAGTCTGCAGTTGCAGCTCCGGCACCACCACCGCCGGTGCTTACTCCTCCTCCTGTTTCAGAGATCATCCCCAAAGGTAAAGTTGAGCGCAGAATTTGCTGATTAATTTTTGTTTGTGATGATGATATGACTCCAAAGTTTTGCGTCTTTTCATAAAGAGTAGATAATTTTATAAGATTGCTTATTATTTTGCTGCAGTTATCTTATCTTGTCACTGAAACCCTTCATGCTAAGTCTGAAAATGAGTGGGGAAGTTGCCAAAATTCTATCTTTTTCCAGTTTCTCAGGCAATCATCTGTTGAATGTGAAATAAGTAATCAAAATGTCTATTTTATCAGTTATGCATCTTATTTCTAATGCAGGTAAAGGCCGAAAATCATGGGTGATAATTGTTGCCATTGTTGTCCCGGTTGGTGTCTCTATTTTGCTATTCATTGTGGGGTATTGCTTGCTAACAAGGAGAGGAAGGAAGAAGTATGATATTGTGCAGGGAGATAATGGTGAATCATGACTTCATTTTTCAACCTAGAATTATCTTTGGGGTTCCACTGAGTTTTATTGATATATTTGGTGTCTTATTGTGCAGCTGTGACTGATATAACCACCGTAGAGTCACTGCAGTATGATCTCAACTCGATTGAAGCTGCAACAAACAACTTTGCAGACAGTAATAGACTAGGTGAAGGTGGATTTGGGGTGGTTTACAAGGTAATGTCCAAACCGAGTCCAGAATTCAATTTAGAAACAGAAATTAGAAGCTTTGATGTTGGTGGGAGTGGTGATTATTTGTTTGTTTTACATTTTCAGGGTAGATTTCCTAATGGACAAGAAATAGCTGTGAAGAGGTTATCAAGGAGCTCTGGACAAGGAGCTAAAGAATTCAAGAATGAGGTTGTGTTGGTGGCTAAGCTTCAGCACAGAAATCTAGTGAGGCTATTGGGATTTTGTGTGGAAGGAGAAGAGAAGATACTTGTTTACGAATTTGTGCCCAACAAGAGCCTTGACTATTTTCTATTCAGTCTGTGTCCTTTTGCTCTCAAACATGCTAACACATAGCGGATAAGTAGATATCAATTTTGATATGCTTTATTCTTATGCAGATGATGATAGACAAGGATTGTTGGATTGGTCAAGACGTTACAAGATAATAGGAGGCGTTGCTCGAGGGATTCTTTATCTTCATGAGGATTCTCGGCTTAGAATCATACATCGGGATCTCAAAGCCAGCAATGTATTACTAGATAGTGACATGAATCCAAAAATTTCAGATTTTGGAATGGCAAGGATTTTTGGAGTTGATCAAACTCAAGGAAGCACTAATAGAATTGTTGGAACCTAGTAAGTAGTAACACCTCCGTTGTTGGTTTAAGTTCCATAGTTAATTCATTCGTTATCACATCCTTACTATTTGACTCACTGGAAAAAAAATGAATAGAATTGCACGAAAGATAATCAATCTAATAATAAGAGTTTTTTGTTAGACATTTAAACATACAAAAAGGTATATATTATTTTCATTGGTGTTCTATTGACAGACAGGTAAAAAATCTTTGTTGCTGTTGTTGTTGTTGTTGTTATATTTAACATTGGTGCTGGTTTTCCAGTGGCTACATGTCTCCAGAATATGCCATGCATGGACAGTTCTCTGTGAAATCAGATGTGTATAGTTTTGGTGTTTTAGTTCTGGAGATTTTAAGTGGCAAGAAGAATAGTAACTTTTATCAAACAGAAGGAACTGGAGACCTAATGAGCTATGTGAGTATATATCAGCCTCTGAATTAAATTCTCCCTGTAATAAGTTACATCATTTTCCATCAACAACAAGAAGAAAGAATAAAGGATAACATTTTTCAAATTGGTTGATGAATTTGTGCAGGCCTGGAAACTTTGGAAGGATGGGAGACCACTGGAGCTGCTGGACCCAATTCTTGGAGATTCTTATGCAAGAAATGAAGTCATTAGGTGCATCCAAATTGGTTTGCTATGTGTTCAGGAAGATCCTGCTGAGAGGCCAACAATGGCAACTATTGTTCTCATGCTCAACAGTTACTCAGTCACAGTACCCCTACCAAACGAGCCTGCTTTTTTCCCCCATAGCAGAATAGAGCCGATAAAGTTGTTGGAATCTGATCAATCTACAAGCCAGTCGATGCAATACTCAATAAATGAAGTCTCAATCACTGAAATAGGCCCTCGTTAAAATTTTGCACCCTACAATTTCCGTATCTTCTGTATTTTTCTAACAAGTACAATTGTTGGGGAGGGGGATTTGAAACACAGACCTTGAGCTGAACCGGGACTGGGAGAGATGCTCTTTTCCAATCGGCCTGAAAGCCCAGGGGTTCGCAGCCCGCTGTTAATGTAAAACAGGCCTCTATAATTTTTATTAGAAGCAGAAGCAGATGTGGCCTGATGTTTCTGTAAGAAGATTACCAAGGTTGTATTTTGGAACGCCCAATAAAGATTGTGTATTTGAATTTGAGGTGTATATTTTAGATGTATGTAGTTGAAAACACTTTTTCTTTAAATATGTTTTTTTTTTTTAATCTTTAGTTGCACTATTTGTTAACTCTTAACTCACCCTACTTATATTACATTTAATTTGAATTTAACACTATTAATTTTTTTTAAAAAAATTAACACTAAATTAGTTGGATAATTGATAATATATGCAATCTTTAAGTACATGTAATTTATTAAGATTCGAGTTGATGCAATCACTTCTGTCAACTGATGCATTCACTTCTGTGAACATCATTCTCCCTAATTTTCCACAAAGTGGCTATTGAAGTGATCTTGAGGCCGGCAGAGCCCTTTGTAGAGCCGTGTTTTTTAGCAAGTTTTCTTCTGCTTCTCCTTTTTTTTTTTTTTTTTTGAAAATTTTTAGAGGGAAAACTTAATTTTTAGGAAAAATGTTGTTTATAAGCCAGTTTTGCAAAAAAAGCAACAATTTATTGCTTTCTGCTAAACTTGTTATTTTAGTCCTATTTTACTATAAAATAAATATTTCCTCCATAATATTTGAAACAGATAAATACCCTAAAAATTTTGCTAAAAACAACTCTAGAAAAAGTTTGGTCAAATAGACTCCTTGAATAGTTTGAAAATAATGCTTCAAATTAATAAATTAAGAGTTTTTTAACTTGTGTTTAAAAATATAAGTTGATAGTGTATTTAATACTTTTTTTCTATTAAAATTAGATTTTTTAGCTTGTGCCTAAGAATGCATATATTACATTTTTTTCTATTAATTTGTATAAAAAATTATAAAAATAAATTTTATT